TGAGTCTTTACGGGTACACAACAAAGCGTGATTTAACCGCTATGGGGTCCTTCATGATTATGGGACTTTTTGGGATCATTCTTGCCAGTATTGTTAATTTGTTTTTACAAAGCAGTGGGCTACAATTTGCGGTTTCTGTGTTGGGAGTTGTGATTTTCACAGGCTTAACAGCATGGGATACACAAAAAATCCGCCAATCATATTTAGCGGGAGAAGATTCAGAAATAGCTTCTAAGAAGGCGATTATGGGCGCTTTAACACTGTACCTTGATTTCATAAACCTCTTTTTGATGTTATTGCGCCTTATGGGGGATCGTCGCTAGGAGGGAAGCAATTTTTAGTAAACAAAATAGCTTACTTTTTATAAGCCGTTTTCCTCCATGGAGTCTCCTTACGGAGGAAAACGGCAAAAATCATAAGACAGCCTAGAAACGCTAGCTTTTTAGTTGCGTTAGTCTTTTCTTCTTTTATCCATGAAAATTAAGTTTTTAAGAAAAGTTTCTACAAAAACAATTGCTTTATGGTTTGCGTTGCCTCAACTACTTCCTTGTACGATGCTAAACAATTGGACTGGAATATATTGTTTCACTTGCTCTCTTAGGGCTTCTATAAGCCCAGAAACTTTTTTGCCACGTTGATTAACGAGCTCTGCATATTCTTTACGGTGTGTGAGACTTTGTGAAACGCCTTCAATAACCAAATCTAGTACGCGCCACCCTTGTTTTGTGAAAAAAACCTTCCAATGTACACTTAAAGGTTTTCGTCCTTCCCGAATAACTTGAGAAATTACAAAAAAACCTCCGTGATCATCAGGCCCTTTCACATCAGAAATTTTTAAAAACTCATTAGAATAGTGTTTAAACTGAGATGAATAGGATTCTACGATTACATCTTCAAACACTTTTAAAAAATCAATTTTTTCTTGTTTTGTGGCTTGTCGGCGATAGTGTCCCAAAGCAAAGAAACCTATTCCTTTTAAATCAAACCTTTTTTGTAATACTTTTCGAAACAAGTTTTCTTGTTTTTGTTTAGATAAATTTGATCCTTGTAAGATTTCTAAAATTTCTTTTCCTGTTTTTTCTACAAAATGTTGCGCTTCCGCTTCGCGTGATGTAGGAGCTGCTTTTGCTGCACTCCAACAGAAGCTAAATATCGTAATAAAAAAGAAAAATCTAATTTGGATCATTTTTTAATACTCTTCATCATCTTCATCAGCATCGTCGTCTATATTCTCTTCTTCATCCCAAGGAATGGGGCCATCTGTGTATTCTATAGGGGCTCCATCGCGGACAAGGAAAGAACGATTTTGCATATATAGTAATTTTGTTCTTGTATACGAATCAGAAGCTTTTTCAATATCATCTGTTAAATCAAGAATCGCTTCTCTTTGTGCAAGTTTTTCTGCTCCTGTACGTGTATAGATGAGATTTTTGCGATCTTGAGTGCGTGCAACGTAGTTAAAGGGATCGATAAAAAAGTCTCCAACCAAGCCGATGGCATCTCTTAAATTTGAAGGTCCAAGGATTGGCAAGATAAGGTAAGGTCCAGGTTTCACACCTGCAGCAGCAAACGTTTGTCCTAAATCTTCCTTATGCTGCGTAATCCCCATATCTGTTGCAGGGTCAAAGAGACCAAAAATCCCCACCGTGGAATTAATAAAGAATCTCAAAAAACTTGTAATGGCCTGGTCTCCTTTCAATTGAACTGTATGATGTACAAAAGAAAGGGGCTCCGTTAGATTGCTTGTCGCATTTAAAACGCCCGTGCGTATAAAGTGCGGAATGAGGTGACGATAGGTTAAAGCAACGGGACGAAAAATTGCTGTATCTAAAAAAAGGTTAAATTGATAAAGCCCTCGATTCAAATTCTCAAGAGGGTCATCAATTTCTAAAGAGTTGTTTTCCTTCGTGTCCGTTTCACTCACATTAGAAGAAACATCTCCTAGTAAAATAGCGTTTGATTGACTGCATATTCCAAAATTTAGAAAAGCAGTAAAAACGATAAAAATAGGAAGCTTGACTAAAGAATATACGTTAATCATTGGTCTCCAAACTCATGCATTATAATAAAATTCTTGCAGAAACATCTAATCACCTTGTACCCTAATGTAAGGTAAATTTTCAGATATTTTTAACTGTGATACAATTTTTTGCACGCTTTTTTATTGTTTTATGGGGAATTAATTTAATTCCTTCCTCTGCTTTTTCTATAGAGATCCCTAAGGGAGCCTTGGTATTAGGGAGCGAAAATGCCCCTGTTACATTGTTCGAATACTCTTCTCTGACATGTCCTCACTGCGCTTATTTCCATAAAGAAACGCTTCCAAAGGCCCAAAAAAAATATATTGATACAGGGATATTACGCCTTGTTTTGGTCCCCTATCCTCTAGATGGTTGGGCTGTAAAAGGGGCAACGCTTGTTGAAGCTGTGCCGTTGGCCAAACAGTGGTTTGTCCTAGAAGCGCTTTATGCATCTCAAATGGATTGGATGCAGTCTAAAGATGAAGAAGATCTTTTGAAGCGCTTTGCAAGAATTGCAGATTTAGATCTCAAGTTTGTTAAGAACGCTGTTGCAAATTCACATTTAATGGATCGTGTTTTGCAAAGGCGCCTTGGTGTTTCTCAACATTTAAAAATTGAGGCAGCACCAACCTTTGTAAGTGAGATGCGTGTTTGGGGATACGCCATAGAGATGACAGAAATCGATGAGATTTGTGCTCCTTATGTGGACTCAATGAAAGGACGCGTGTAATGGATGATTCAAATTTTCTCGTTGTTGTCGATGCAACTCTGCAAAATACTCAAGAAATGATCGAAGAAGCTTTTGGTGACCTTTTTGACGTTGAATACCAAGACGGTGTTTTAACGATTACGCTTGAAACTGAAGAAGAGTATGTGGTTAACCGCCACCTCCCTCAACACCAAATTTGGCTCTCATCTCCTGTGAGTGGAGCACATTATTTCTCTTATCAGGAAGAAACAGGGCGTTGGGAAAACTCTAAAGAAAAGGGCGTTTATCTGCGGCCCTTTTTAATAGAGGAGCTTAAGACAATTGCGGAGAAATCCTTTGTCGCATAGAAGAGCCCGCCCTGCTTCTATCTTTGATTTTTTTTCCTTAATACGCCCTTATGTTTTTCTTGCTTTAGGGGCTCTTATCTGTTTATCAATTGCGGCGGGCACTTGGATGGGGTCTGCGTTTTGTTGTGGACTTACTTCTATCCGAGAGTGTTGCTGAAGATATTATTGAACTCACAACTTTAGGCTTGCTGGGAGCTTCTTTCTTAATTGCAACAGCCTCCTTTGGGCGTTTTGTATGTGTTTCTCTTATTGAGGAAAAAGTCGGGCTATCCTTAAGAAAACGTCTTTTTGAAAAATTCCTTTATGCTCCCCTTCAACAAATCCAATCCTATTTCCACGGAGATATATTAATACGTTTCCAAGAAGACATTGCCAAAGTACAAGAAGGTGTCGGCAGATGTCTTTCTGTAGGAACTCGCAGCTTTATACAGCTTTTAGGAAGCCTTATCTTGCTTTTACTCACAAGTACCTTTCTATTTTTTTCTGTCTTAGCAGTGACTTTATGCGTTTTGGGACCAATCTATATTTTGGGGCGCCGGGTTCGCCATAAAACACAAAGACGACAAGATTTTAGTTCACTTCTTTTCTCATTCGTTGAAGAAACCTGGTCGCAACTTTTAACAGTTAAGCT